GTGTCGAATCGATCGGTGTCGAATCGTACTGTGGTCAAACGGAACACGCCCATTTTTTTGTGATATTATTGTGTATTATATAGCGATTTTTGAAAAGGCTCAAAACTATTTAATTTTTTCTGTTTTTCTCGTCCATGCTGCGAATTTAAAGAATAACGTATTCGCTTTTGTAATTGATTATGTATACGATTTCTGTCGTATTGGTTTTTTATTTTAAGACGATTAGATTCTACATTTTGTTTATATCGTCTACGCTATTCAGCACGATTATTTTCTATATTCTGTTTATATCGTGTACGTTGTTTAGCACAATTATTTTCTATATCCTGTTTATATCGTCTACCCTGTTTAGCACGACTATTTTCAATATCTTCTTCTTATCGCTTTTGCTTTCTAATGTTTCTCTTTTCTAAATTTGTACGATTCATAGCACAAATAGGTGCCGAATTTTGCAAGTACCATTCCTGTTTTGTTTTACGTCGTTTTTCTAGTTTTTCTACTATACATTGTTGAGTATTTTCATGTTTTTTAGAATTAGTTTTACGTAATATACGCATACAAGTTGCGTTAATCTCTTTTTGTATCACTGATAAAAATGGCAATATTTTAAGACTGGATAGCGCGTATCTTGAGGAAAATGCTCAATTATATTTGTTTCCAATGTTTTAACCAAATGCAAACGCATCAACTCATGATCGTATTTAACCCCTTGGGTACATTTGACGTCTGAGACACGTCATTCACTTTTTTCCTCTAGGAGCGGATGACGTGTCTAAAACGTTATTTGAGGTTAGGCACAATTCTGTTCATTTCATTGTAGCTTGTATCAGTCATAATAGAAGAGGCAATTACAGTATTTTGGTGAACATTATTTGCGATACACTGCCAAAAATTATATTTGTTCCACATGCAAATATTTTCTCAAATAAATCCGTACCCAAGGGGTTAACTATTAGTGGAGCGCCTGGGGGTTTACACTGCGGATTACACCAACAGTGAATAAATTTAGATGGTCGATGTGGAATTTTATTTTTGAGACTATAAATTACAATGTTTACCCAAAATTTTTTTGTGCTTCCAATTTTTTGATTGTTTAAACAAATGATTTAAAAAAATTAATTTTCGAACATATAATTTTGCTTTAAATAGCGATTTTTTTCATTTATATGTAATATTTTACCTAAATAAACACAGACAACCATCTATTAAAGATATCTGTGTATAGCAAGGGCCCTAAGGGCCTTGAACAGGTAGTAACGCGTGGAGGAGGAACGGAGAAGCAGCTGCAATGTATAACGGCAATTTTAGGCTAGTTTAGTTATAAATGCCACGTGCTACGTACATGTTGTGTATATATAACATTGAAAATTCTGTATTTTGATGGAAAATTTAAGTGTATTTCAAATAGAAGTTGTATTTAAGCCGATTTTTTTCTTTCAAATTTTTGTACAATTTTGTACTGCTTTGTTTGGTAAGTAATTTGTTTTAAAATTACAGTTTATTATGGGGTGATTGCTTAAATTATAGATAAATCGTTGGTTAAATATCAATTTAATAAAAAAAAATAAAATAACAATGAACAAAATGCTAAGAATTAACTATTAATAATTTTATAAATTTTTCTCTATTAGTTTTCGAGCAATGGCTGAAACAACGACCAGCAGCATGACTGATGAGCAAAGTTGCATAATATGTGAACACCTGGGTTCATCTTCCGAAGTAAATTCAGATTTTGGTGAAAATAAAAAAATTACTAGAGGAGTCATCATCTTTAAGAGCTGCTTCAAGCGAACGACAGGATGGATTGTTACCTCACTTACAAACTGAATTTGTTTCTGCACATACACGGTGTCGGCAAAAATATATAAATAAAAAATACATTAAAATGTATAAAAATAAGTTACGTGACACTTCATTTTCACCTCCGAAAAAAAAGCTCCGAAGTAGCACGAGTTTAACAAACTTCGATTGGGAAAAAAACTGTTTTCTTTGTGGGCAAGAAGCTGATAAAACAAAAGAAGCAAAACTTAACAAAGAGCGGCGAAGACAGATTTCATACATTAATACTCCAACTTTAAATGAATCTTTCGTGAATTTTATAGCTGTACAAAAAAATGATTATTACAGAAAAATTAATAAAAGAATTTCTGGCATAACAGATTTACAGGCACTTGGAGCAAAGTATCATACAGATTGTTATAACATGCTCAAAAGTTCTATTCAACAGAATAATGCTGAAAAGACAACTAATCCAAGAATTTTGATAGTAGATTTAGCAATGGAGCAAATATACAAGTACAGGGTGCGTCGCCAAAATCCGGACAAATTTCAATTTGATATTCCCTCCGTTCAGTACCATTGGCAGATGTCGCGATTGGCATTCAAATAGCTTGACGCATGTACTAAACTACCATAACTTCGAAACAGTCGCAATGTTGAAACCCAGTGCGGAGTACA